TAATTCTTATTATTATTAATTTAATCACTTATCTAGTAAAATAAATGTTAGATTGTTTTTGTTTGTTGGCTAATTTATGTATTTTATTCATAAATGACATAAATAATATTAACCGCTCTAACTTTTAATAGTGAGAACTCAAATACAAAAAATTAATTCACAAATAATAGTATAGATTTGCTACTAATCATATCTAGTATATATAATGAAAATAGTTCATGAGGCTTACGAGTTTTAGTATACATATCTATATCTATAATAATAAAGTTGGCTTCTCTCCCTTCTTAAGAGGCCACATCAGCAAAAAGAAGAGGGCAAAAATTGCCACGTGGATTCATAAAAATTCTCAAAGGGTCTTTGATTTTGAGTGAGGTTTGTTGTGCGTTGGTATTTTGGTTTCATTTTGAGGATGGGCTTTTAGAAAGCCCAACACAAATCAAGGGCAAATCAGGGTTCTTCTTCCTCTTCTCACATTCAACCGCCGATATCCTATCCCAGAAAACTCAAGCATACATCTTCTCACCGTTACATATCCACCAATAGGCTTCTGGACTTCTGTGATTTTCACCAATCGTACTACGTTTGTAATTGTTTTCTTATTATCATGGCTAACTCATCTACCATTCTTGCTGATCTGAAGTCCGGACGTTGTTCATCCATGGTAGACCTGCGGCTGCTCAGTTTTGGGAAGCCAGATGGTGGCGGCCTCATGGGAGTAGATATGCTTCTTCTGGATGCTACTGTTATCTAAAGTCATGTTCATCATTGTTTTGAACACCAACGCAGATGCTTAGATTCATATTTATCCGATTTATGCTTTTGGTGTTATGGTTTTTTTTCTCTTTGCGATATGTTTTGAATCATGTTGTTTATTATTATTATTAATTTTGTAATTGTTTTCAGTCAGCTACCATTAAGTATCATCGACGTCCCACTTTTCTGCGATCTTGAATGCGGGTTCTATATACTTTTCACATCTAAACATATTCGATTTCAAAATCTGCACTGACATTTGCATGTTTGACAAAAAAAAAAGATTAGTAACTGGTGAGGACTAGGCTGACTTAGGGGGTGTTATTCAATTAGTGATTTAAAATCAATTTTAAATATTTACAATCTATTAGATTTTTAAATTTTTAAATTGTTAAAGTTGATGAATTCTAAAATCTATACAATACCTCTTGGATTTTGAGTTTAATCATTTATTCATTAGAATCCATCACTGATGATTTGAAATCCACTTATATTACAAAGAATTTTAAAATCCTTAAAAGTTGAATAACACCAGATTTTAAAACCCAAAATTCAATCATAGATTAAATAACACTGAATTTTAAAATAGAATTTAAAATCATCAATTGAATAACAGTGAACTGTATTTAGATTTAAACTCTTTTACATGATTGAATAACACCATCTTAAGTTTTAGGATTTCTTCCCTAGATTCATACAAGTTTCGATTATGAAATGAAAGCAGCGTTCTTTTCTCGGTTTCAAGAATCAGAAGCACTAAGTTGTTTTTGATTTTTCTTTGTTTTAGTGGCTGAAACCATTTTCGACTTTTTGTTATTTTTTATGTTGTTGCAGGGAATATCAACGATCAGATCTGCAAATGATTTACAGTATATAACGTCTCCTGAGCGGCTCAAACCGACTGCGGACTCTTACACCAATCATGTAGGTTCTCCAAATTAAGTTTTAAAACACAATGCCATTAACTATTTACTGTTTTTACTAGCCTACCAGTCTCTTTTTCTTGAAGGCAGATGGAATTTTGAGTGGTTTGGAATCTTTGGATACAACACCATGCGGCACTTGCTGCTTGGTCTATATTGTAGTCAATTTTCTTACTTTGTAGCTTGGTTATTAACATTCAGTTTATATCTTGAGATTCTAAGCATTCTTCTATTCTTCTGGGACTGTGGCAGGAGCTTTCCTTCATCATTTGTGAGTCTATCAAATATGGACGTTGTCATTAAGGAGGCTATAGCGCAAAGGAAACCACCGATGTCAAACAGCTAAACATGGTATATCATTTTCCTGAATGGTCTAAGAGTTCCACTTGGCAAGCCATACTAAGCCACATTCTAACATTTTCCCTCCTCACATTTAACAATGTAACCTTGTGATGCTGTTGTTCTCGGCTTTCAGGTGAATCTGAATCGATATTCTTCATGATATCATAATGTTAATCTTCATACGCTGTATGGGCATTGTCTTTAGTCAAGGCAAACTTTCACAATAAAAGATAGGCAACCTCAACTGTATGCTTCATAGACATCATTGGGTTTGTTGGTGAGAAGTCCACCTTCAGTGACCATGATACAATGCTTTCTTCATTAAAACTGATTTGTTTGCATATTACAATGTTTTCCAAAACCTGAATCCCAGGTACAACTATTCAACAAGTACAAAGCCTCCGTGAGAGAATTAATATGCCCAACACTAGCGTTCATAAAAAGCCTCTTCACAATTTACTACTTTTTACCTTTAAGTTTCATTGTTGATTTTCTATCATAAGTCCACATTCTCTGTTATTAAACTGTACACTGAAAACCAATATCTATATGAATGTGCTACAACAAAATTAATTAGCTCTTTGCGTCCATATTTACTAAGGAAGACGACATCTCCTCATGAAATCAATCTAACTCAAAACGTTCTTAGCACACCAGAAAAAAAAATTAACAACAGAGTAAAAAGGGAAGCTAAAGAAATAACGATTAATCCAACACGATCATCTAATTTATGGAAAATAAACTTGGGAAAACTGTTTTTTTAGACCAAATAGGTTTGGATATTGTCCCTTTAGGCTAAATTATATTTTGTACCAATTTTGACTCTAATGCCCTTTATGTATTTTCGAAATTATTAAAAAAAAAGATTTATGAAGCAAATTTTTTTAAAAAAATAGTACATAATGGTGAAATCTCTATATCTATATAGTGATATTTTTTTCTTGTTTTAAAAATATGTAAATAATAATTTCATATATCTATTCTACCAAAATTAGAATATGTATTCTACGGATTAGAATACGGAATCCACTTTTTTCACTATTTCTACGAATTGCAGAATATGTTTTCTACGGAGATAACATGAATCTAAAATAGTTTGGAATACACATTCCACGCTTATCATATAGTTCTAAAAAGAGTAGAAGTTGAAATCTAAATTCGTACTTAAATCTAAGACAAGTAGAAGT